AACGTCAACGAAGCTCTTCCGATGGTGAGGAGAAGCGGTGCATCGTTGCAACATCTTTCAATCCAAAGAATAGCGGCAACTTAGACGGCGAGCCGAAGGTTTTGCGAGTTTCTCTAGATTTATCTCCGCAATGGATCCCAGAGGCAGAAAAAGGTTTCTCAAAAAGTGGAAATACGAAATTTGAATCTAAACGCATTGTACAAATAGGTGATATATAAAGAATCATGAACGATGCATCTTGTTACCATGTTATGTCGCTCTAAACGAAAGCAAATCATGCGTTTGTCGATATCCAAGTAAGGGTCTATATTCATCCCATGTATTTGAAAAATGCTTATTTTTATAATGCACTACTGCAAGCTGGTTATTCCCCTTAATAGTTGAACTTAACTTGTGCTGTAATAGTAGACTGTTTTGTGAACGAGGGCTTAATCACTTTAGATAAAAATGAGAACCTTAGAAGAGAGACGTATTGCTTTTCAATGCTTGAATATTTCTATCTGCATGCTGATTTTTAGCGTCATTCTTCTCACAAAAAGAAATCTAAGCACAAGGAAGAAGAATCTGTGGAACAAATTTTGGAGTTTGGTCTAAGAGACCACGTAATAGAAGTAGACAATCAGAATACGAATCCAAAAACTATTCACTAGGGTTCACGTTACTCGCAACTTGGGTGCAAAAAGCGACAATGTCGAGAAGCGCTCACAAGCATTGTACAAATCTACATCCTTTCCCCGTTTCCTTTTGGCTCTAAGAAGAGAGTCCTCCTATGATTTTTGCTTGGGCAAAAAAAAAAACGCCTCAGAAAATGGAAATAAAATAGTATATTTTTAAATGCAGTTTTAAAGATTATTGCCTTACAAGGAATGGGACACATCCTATTTACCGAATGAGCTAGCATTTGCCAACATCGTTAATACTTCGCGGATCAAAACATCTACGACAGCGTGTTTTTTTTGGTTCTACAATAAACCTCTTGTGATTCCACACAAAGACTTTGGGAAGTTATTACGATATGGTCAATGCTTCAGAATTAGCCTTTCTCCTGTAGAACGTGGATAATGTAAGCATAAATTCCAGAAGAAAGAGGCTATCCCAAATTGAGAGTCCTGTGTGGCACATGATCTCCCGCTCTCGGGTTTGAAAACTAAAAAGAAAATTAAGAACAAGCTGGAATGCTCTTAGATGTCGAAATGCACAGGTGAAGTATAGCACTAAATTCCCTAGTAAACCGCAAAGCACGCTATCATTTGGAAAAGACTAGCAAAGTTCTACATTCATCACTCATTGAACACAGCAGAATATAGACGAATTCATGTCTAGAAAAAGCCATAGGAGAAGCAATTTTCTAATTTCAGGAAAAGAGAAAACAAAGTAAAAAGCGCAGATGGCACTCTCTTTGTAACAGACTGGCAAGTAATCAAGATTCTGTTTGAATTGGCTAAGCACCTTCTCACCTGCAATTTTGAACAATAATTTTCCAAACTATCTAAACCGTTAAGACTAAAGTTAACACAAATTGGTAGATCAAACTGGGTGCAGCGAGATTAGGAGGGAGCAACTTCCGTAAAAGCCGTTGAATACACAAATCCTCTGATCATGTGATGTTTCATCCCGTTGCGCAAGGCTGCACTCATTACGAGTAACATTATTTCAAGTTTACAGCAAAGTGAGAGTATGAGGTGATATGCTGATAACGGAAATTATACCTATGTTTAGTGATAGGAGCGAGCCTATTGGGGATTATCGCAAGTAGATGCCAGAATTTCAATACCACGAAATCATTTAG